TTATTTAACCCAATAGTCGTATGGCTACGAATGCTCTGCATTTCTCATCTATATGCAACTTTTTCATTTTTTGAATAAATTCTTTACAAATTAACATAGCCTACTTGCAATCTAAAATAGCTTTCAAAATGCCAAACTCATAATAGTTTCAGAAGGGGCTCCGAATTCTCCATTGGAAGATTTACGACAACACAAAATTCCAATCGGATAGAGATTAATCGTTTCTTCTCAGATGCGTTGGCATTCGCCTTTTTTTTATTCTAATTATCGGGGTGGAAAGGAATGAAAAAGATGAGAGATATAAATATTTAAATTAAGTGTTGTAACAGAGATTCTTTTTATCTACTCCGTTGTTTTTGTTCCTTGATGACCAAATGATTGGATCTGTAATAAAATAACCATCCAATTTATCTCTCGTTTCGTCACCTATAACAACACAATATTGAGAACATCGAATTCACTCCAGTCATAATTCGATACAATAATAAATTATTGACAACAAGTAATTCACTCTATCGGTTCTCTGCATGTCCTCTTATTATGACCCACTGCCCCGCATCGTTTTCACTTCAAAGGCCTAGTGATTGACTGTTCAGTCTTGGATATTCTTCATTGCTTCTTTGGCTTTTTGGGAAGGCGTGTAGTCCTTGGTGGCAATACTGTCTCGGTTGAACATACGTGTCAACTCAATATCATGTGGGACAGGCCCAAAGGGAGTTTAAACGACCCTTTTAAAGTATTCCACTGTAAAATAATTAAGGCAGTACGCAGTGGGATCCAAATGCATATGGTTAATAGCTGCAATGACATGAGCACACGGAATGCCACTGAGTTGCCATTTTCTACAATTGCACGTCCAATGCGTTAAATCGACAACATACTTCTTTCCAAGATAGTGGATCTCAAATTGCGTGTCCATGGCGGATATAACTGGGTGCAAAAATCGAGCCTTTATCTTTCACAAGTCGAGCAATTCTTAAGCCTTCGGTACTAACATGCCACTTCAAGTATTACCTAACACCCTCTTCTCTTCAAATCTGGTCATCAATTGTACCTTTATTTCTTCACACATTGTAATGAGAGAAGATAAAATCCAAGCATTGAAAGGCTCGGCCATGTTAGAGGTAAGATGACTGTATTTGGACCCTGAAAAATAGGCATCTGCCCAAAAATTGGGGGGAATATTCTTAATCCACTCATATGCTTTTGGGTCGGCACACTGTATATCAAACATTGTTTTTTCAAACCCACCAATTGTTGCTTTACGGGTACTTGCTGACTTATTCATAAGCCCCTGAAGTTCTCTCTCATATATCGCATGCAGAATGATGGAAAACATGTGAGAAATCATTTCTCTATTGCTTATGACAGGCTTTTCTGTCGATATGATATAATTGTTAAGACAGGCAGATTAAGACACTCATTCAATAGCTCACTCAATATACTTAAGAACCAATACCAACTCTGATAGTTTCCCTTCTTAACCACTATAAATGCCAATGGGAAAAACCCATTATTTGCATCTAGCGCGATGATGTATAATAATATGCCTTGATACTTTCCTTTTAAGAATGTCACATTAATACTTATTAGTGGCCTACATCCATTAACAAAACCCATAATGCATGGACGATAAGCAATAAATAGTCGTTTGAACCTGCCTTCATCTGTATAGATGCGAACTTCGGTTTTCGGGTTGTTTCTTTAAATATGCTCCATATACAGGAGGAGGTTATGGTATTGTTGTTCATATGATCCATCTATCATCTTTCTAGCAAGCTCTTTTCCCAGCCAAGCTTGCATGTAGGAAAGTCTGACCCCGTGATCACGTTGGACATCCTTTACGATATCTTTTGCTTTAATTTTTGGTTGGTCAATAAGGCGGCCTTTAATCTTTTTTGTCACCAAATCACTACGAGCTAGTGGCTGATGGACCCTCCTCATTGGACCACTACATTCGTACTCTTTAACCATAGACTTCACTTTAAAGTATGCGGTACAGTCAACTCGTAAGTACCGCACTTGCCATGTACATCCTCCTGCCTTGCAACTTGCGCACACCCGTCCCAATCACTGTTGTCAAACTTTAGAACAAATTATTGTGGATTGCAAAATCAACTAGATGATGCTGACATTCATTAACATTTTCAAAAAATTGCCCAACATTCAATTGAACCTCGTTACCAACTCCTCTACATGAACTCTCTAGTGGTTCAATATCCTCCATATCACGCTCTGGTACAAGCTCAGAGTTGGGGGCCACTTGAATGTTTTGAACTTAATCAGGTAAAGCGTTACGTCGACTGTTGACAAAAGATAGAGTGTAAGATGAAGCAACAATTTCTGTACATGTAAGATTAAAATAAAGCAATTTACAGATGAAAAAATAAATTGTAGATATACCTATTCCTTGAAGATGGGCCATTAGCAACATATTCATGTTGTGGCTCCATTGTAGCGGCAATATATATACAATTCTCGAAGATTCCCCTCCCAACGTAAAAGATACATCTGTATTATCACTTACATCAATCAAATCAAGCCCACTAGATAGACTTGTGTTATGGTACATAATAGCTAATTTGTTTGGATCACACTTGGTTGAATTACTAAAATGACTTTTTAGTTCCTCCAAGGAACTATTTCTATTATACTTGGTGACCTTCACTTTTCCCCCTTTATAAATAAAACGTTCATCATCTGCATTCGTCTCAAGTGACCCCCCATATTGGAATACCAGTTGCACTCCCTTAGTAGCCATCGTCGTTGCTATTGTATTAAATGAATAGCAAATTTTGTGTTACAAAAAATCAATACAATAAGAAATACCAAAATTTTGGATATTTCTGGCTACTTTAGGATTCATAAAATCTAAGTATTACATAATAGATTGAAATAGTGTACTACTAAAAACGTGACTAGTAAACAATAAATAAAAGAAAACAACAAGTACTCAAATAAATACAAAATAAACAACAAATTTTAATACAAACAAACAAGTTGAACAATATTTAGCCAAAACAAGGAATACAATATATGAACATAATACAAACAACAAATAATTATATAAAACAAACAACTTCATCAATATTAAATAAATTTTATTTATTAATCAACAATACACAACAAATATTGATGACAAAATATAATATCATATAAAATATCCAAAAATAAACATAAATTCATCAACAGTATAAGGCAATCATATGAACCGTACCAATCACGTCCAAATAGTGAATCAAGCTCTTCAACTTTATGGGTTACTGTATTAGGGGACAGTACAAGGGGCATGATGCGCAAAAGATACTTATTAGGGGACAGTACAAGGGGTATGATGCGCGAATGATACTTATTAGGGGACAATACAAGGGGTATGATGCGCGAAAGATACTGCATTTGTCTATTTTCCCCAACTTTATAAAAATAAATAAATAAACTTTCCGCCATGAGCGGGAAAATTTAGCCCGAAAATTTGCGGTTGTTGAACAACCGAACTCAACATATTTTCGGTTGTTCAACAACCAAAAATGAAAATATGAAATTTTTATCTCTCTAACTATTTTCGGATGTTCAACATCCGAAAATACCATAAATTCAGATGTTGCACATCCGAAAATACCAAATTGAATGTTTTAACTTGCGTCCATTTTCGAATGTTGAACATCCGAAAAACCCACAAATTCGGATGTTCAACATCCAAAAAAGGGTAAAGTTGTTTTTTTTTAAAATAACATTATAGAAGATAAAAATTGGATACAACTGTAATAACGAAAACTATTTGGTATATCCGTAATATAAATTATAACGAATTTTTAGGTAATTTTCTCTTGTTTTTTCCTGTTTCTAAAATCTTTTAAAATCCATTTCTCTGATTTCCTCATTGATTTCAAACTCTCTTTTGGCTCGGTGCAAATCTAGACTGACCTGTTGATGGTTCGCAAAGAAAAGGTCTTTCAAGACTAATTTTTCATAAATCGTAATTCGTTGGGACCTTGCATCTCTACTAAATTTAAAATAACAATTTTGTACATGAATATGTATAAGAAGGCTGGGGACGTTAAACTTTTTCTTAACCCATCTTAAAGCTCAGGTAAAGGAGGTGGATTTTGTTAGGCACGTAGCTATAAGTAGCCAATATAAAACTTCACCAAAACTTTCTATGGATTTTGAATATACTGGAATTTTGAATCTACATTATGAGATTTATGGCCCTCATCGAGGGTATGACCCTTAATAGAGTAGAATGACAGACCATGATTCGTGTAGTCGATCCTAAATGCTTAAAAAAAGACTTTGACGATGATGGAGAAGTTTATACATAATCAAAGTAGAATGGGCTTTAAGTTCTATGTTTTGCGTAGATCTCGCAGGTAAACAAGGTTACATCTCCAAATTCTATAGTCTAAAAAATACTCCTACATAGAGATCTACTTGACAAAATAAATATGGGTAAGGTTTTTATACTTCCCCTACTGCATATAAGATTCTTCCCCCAGTTGTTTAATTTAGATCAAGTGAGCCACTGACCGTTTAATCTAGATTCGATGTCTCAGAATATTTATTTTTATAAATTATACGAATATAAAAATTGGTATGTACCATCATCTCAATGAGGCACACCTAATTTTTTTTTTCGATTGAATATAATGACCAAAATACTATTTAAAACTTTTAAAGGTATTTTAGTTATTTCATTTATAGATAATATTTTTTATAGTTTCTACAAGTACGATTTCAAGAGAGGAGTGGCACCCAAATTTGGTGTCAAAATAATTTTAATTTTTTTTAAAAGAATAATATAGAAATATAACATTGCGATTAGGGTCATCTCAGGCGTCCATTCAGAATGGACGGTTGGATAGGGGGAAACATATGGTTTGATGCGGTAGGGAAAGTATTGAAAGCTTGCCCAAAAAACACACATTATGTTCCTCCCGGGATCATAACATCTTGTGGTTAAAGTGATGCTCTATGCCATAAACACGTTGAATATACGTGCTCCCGTTCCCTCTCTCGAGGTTTCCTCGCCCAGTGTTGCACCGCAAAAACCGGTAGAGAGAGAGAAGGATGAGAGAGAGAAGAGGCTACTATATTTTATTAAGAGACAAAGAGCTTGCTAAAAATTTAGGACTCGTGTGCAAAACACTCTGGCTCTATTTTTTTTATTTTCGGTACGGGTATTTGTGCATGATGTCTTTTTACCATTGGTTTTGAGTGCGATAGCAACAAGAAGAAAAGGAAAGCCCAAATTCATCGCAGAAGGTAATAACAATGGCGGGAGCCTCTAAATACCTTCTCGATCTTCCTTCCCGCGGTCTCTTCTCCTCCACTATCCAGTCTACTAACCCGGTATTGTGCTCTAATGTCGTTTCTCTTTCTCTTTGGCAATGCGTTTTAGTTCTCTTTCTCAATTTTCTCTCTCATTCTTAATGCTTATCAATTTTTTGCTCTTTTGAATTTCATGGCTTTTTCTCATCATTTCTACTTATTTTTGTCTTCCTAATGCATATTTGTTGGACTCTGTGATATTCTTTTCTTTCTTTTTCATGTTTAGGCTATGGCATTAGTATTCTCTATTGGGTTCATTGAAGCTGCTCTGTAATTTTTTTCCCTTCTTCTGTTGATGTGTAGTGATTAGCTTTGTGCTTTCAGTCATTTGATGATAATTGGTGGATTTGCATTGTAATTAAACGGGTTTTTTCTTTCGGATTATTTGCTAATGTTTGATAAATTTTCTTGTGTTCTTGAATGGGCTTTTTTTTTTGGGGTTATTTGCTGATGACATTGTATTTTGATTCAATGTGGGTTTCCTTTCCTCTTCTGTGCTATTTGTTAATATTTGGTGTACTTGCATGATGTTAAATGAGTTGCTTCTTTTGGATCATTTACGAATATTTTATGATTTAACCCAATCTGTTTTAATGGGATTTTCTTGGGGAAATGTGATTATGATTATAATGTGGTCCCCCATGTTGATTGTTTACTAGGCGGACAGATAGTTTATACCCTGTTTATTGGTCTGCATAGATTGTATGATACTAGTATAGTTGATCGTTTTTCCGTTTTCTATCATTTACCATTTATGCTCCTAAAACAAAAAAAAAGAGAGCTATTTTACCCCTCTCTTACTGTCTCTCGTTCTCTTTCCATCTCCCTCCACCTGTTGTCTGAGCGCCCATCTTGTGCCTTCTTTTATTTAATAAATGGTATTTTATTTTCATTTATTAAAATTAGTCTTTCTCCCCCAAAAAAAAAGCTCAAAGGACACAACGGGGTATGTCTACATTCTCTAGAGTTCCTTTTCTTTTTTTTTTGGTTTTTGTTTTTGTTTGTTTCCATTTTGGGGTAGTCTAGTGGTAGGACTTGAACTTGAGATATAGCACTGTTAACCGTCAGCTTCAAACCACCCAAGCCCAAGCTATATTGCTCTCTCTAAAGCTTTTGCCAAAATTATCTTCAACATAGTCCATTAGCTTTAGCTTTTGTTGAAATTAAGCTTCAAATAGATCTTTATCGATTAAAATAAGAGAAAGATAGAAAAATATCAATACTCCTAAACGGCATGGCATCACACCAATCTATTTCCAATTTTTAGCCTAAAGCCCCCCTATCACCTTGCCCATCAATGTGGCTTTTTCTAGTTCATTTGATGTTTTACCAGACACCCCAAATGTTTCTCCAAATATCATGATTTGATGTAAGCAAACTGAATCAGACAACAAAAATAATTGAAAGCCTCTTCTATCTGTTATTTGTTTACTTCGATCAGTTTAAAGCGTTCTATTTGTTGTGATATAGTACATAGTTTTATTGACAGTTTATTCTCAAATTTAAAAAGAAGTTTTCACTTTAAGTTGGTCTAGATGGCTAAGAAAATCTTCGCAATTGTACATGTTATTCCAAAAGATGGATCTTTGAGTATTGTGTGTAATTGCGGACTTCAAATTTAGTTACACTTGTACTAAATATCTATTCCATGCTGTTGCCAATGGTTTATGTATTGGGTCGTGATTATTTGTCGATAAAACTCAACCTTTAGGTCTTTTTTTTCAAACCAACATGTTGGACCAGCAATAGTAATACATTTTGATTAGTTGAATGCAAAGAGTGCTTGTGTTCATAGTTATGTGGGGAGGTTTATTGTGAAATCAAGTGCAAAAATGTTCCAATACATCTCTTGCAAACTGGCTTGTCATGTTTGATTATCTTCTATTGTGTATTCTACACTTGATCTGGTTATGCCCTGTGCTATTACTTTCTATTTATAAAGTCAACGGTTGTCTTTTTGATCTTCCATCAAAATTTATGATAAGCGCCTGTTGTTTGCATGCTTTGGTGTTTCCTGGTTCTGTTTGCCAGTGAGATGCCTATTTATTCTAGCTTTCAATTTTGTATCATTGGCTTAAAAAGTAATTAGCAGTGGTGATTGATAGAAAGATTCTAAGATTGGAGAGTTTAATAGGGAACCAAAATAGTGGCTGCTACACTCAATGCACTAATGTTCTTGCCCAACAAAATAGCATTTGTCTATAATTGTTTTTGCTTTAGAAAATGGCACTGTAGATGGTAAGCTCCATACAAACACAATGGTCTTTGGTCATAAGGTTTATAATTTGCCCTCTTAATCCCATCATCATAATTTCTTTTTCCCAGTGCTACTTATTTTCTGACGCCCAATTGATGAGTGGTTTTTCCCTCACCAGTTTGTCGCTATTAGAAAATTGGTGTTTGAATGCACTTGTTTCTTTTGACATTTCACTGTTAAATAGAAGTACAATGTGTAGGAATCCCTTTGATTATGGGATAGACATGATACAAATTTATTTGATTATGGGATAGAAATCCCTTTGATTATGGGATAGAAATGACATAAATCCCTTTGATTATGGGATAGACATGTTTACAACAAAACAATGCATTTGTTTGACCATATATCCTAATGCTCCCTCTTTAGTTGGAGCATGTATAGAAATCATGCTCAACTTGCCTGTAAGATGATGGAAGCATTCTCGTCCAAGGACCTTGGTGAAGATATCTGCGATTTGGTTGGAAGTATGGAGGTAGGCGGTTTTTAACAGTCCACATTGGAGCTTTTCACAAATTAAGTGGTAGTTGAGTTCTATGTGCTTAGTTCTCTCATGAAAAACAGGATTAGCAGCGATATGTAGAGTGGCTTTGTTAACACATAACATGATAATGGGTTGTTATGAGGAATTCGAAGATCATAAAGAAGATACTTTAACCAGGTCAGTGCCATGGATCAATACTCAGCCTTTGCCGAGAACGAGATTTTGTGTTATGTTTTTGAGTTTTCCAAGAAATGGAATTGTCACCTAGGAATGTGCAATATTCACTTGTTGATCGACAGGTCATGGGGCAGCTTGCCCAATTAGAGTCACAGTAACCAATGATGTGGAGCTTGCTTGAGGATGACAAAAGAATCCTGTGATCAAGAGTGGCTTTGAGATAATGAAGCAGCCGAATGGCGGCATCAAGATGTGGCTTTCGTGGTTCTTGCATAAATTGACTCAAGATATGAACACGATAAACAATGTCTGGGCAAGTTATTGTCAAGTATATGAGGTGATCAATGAGTCTTCGATAAGAAGAGGGATCGTCGAGTAAGTCACCATCCTCAGAATTTAACTTGAGGTTTTGTTCTATGGGGAAGGCAGTTGGGCTGGCTCCAAGCATACCCATATCTTGTAGGATTTCCAACATGTGTTTATGCTGGTTTAGAAAAATTCTGTTGAGAGATCTTGCCACTTCTATGCCAAGGAAGTACTTAAAGGGGCCTAGATCCTTGATGTGGAATGGAGACTACAAAAATTGTTTTAGAAGGTTGATGGCAATGGGATCATTTTGTAGATGATGTCATCGACATAGATGACAACATAAACACGGTGTTGGCCATAAGTTTGTGAAGTAGGAAGAATTGGCTTTAGATTGAAGAAAACCAACATCATGAAGTGCAACAGATAGCCTTGAAAACCAATTGCGAGAGGCTTGTTTGAGCCCATCCAAAGAATTTCATAATTTGCACACTCGGTGCTCCCCATGTGGGCCAAAATCGGGTGGAAGTTGCATGTATACTTCCTCCTCTAGGTTACCATGACGGAAAACATTTGTAGCATCAAATTGATGAAGGGACCATTGTTGGATGGAGGCAAGAGCTAACAAGCATCAAACGGTGACCAATTTCGTGACAAGTGCGAAGTCTCATAATAATCAAGACCCTTCATTTGTGGATAGCCCTTTGCTTAAGGCGGGCTTTATAATATTCAATGGAGCCATCTGGGTGATGCTTTATTTTGTAGACCCATTTGCAACCAATGGGTTGTTGGCCCTATGGTAATGATCCATGTTTCGTTCTCTTCAAGGGCGCATATCTTAGCAGCCATAACATCTCACCATTTAGGGGATTTTAAAGCAGTTTTTAAAGATGAGGGTTCTTTAGTGGAAGATAAGGCTACACATATGCTCTTTGAGTAGGAGGTAGTTTGTCATAAGATAAAGCAATGGTCAAAGGATGAGTAGTGCCTGGCCTTGAAGAGGAAGATTGCAAGGGATGGGCAAGAGCGTTGGCCAGGTAGCAATGGTAATCTTGCAAATAAGAAGACGTGTATATTGTGAGAGTGGATCAACATGGTGCAGGTGATTGGGGAGGTGAACGGGGTGGTATAGGTGGGGAAGTCTAGTTTGGAACATCATGTATGGGTGGTGAGCTGTGAAGAGTAGGCGCAATAATATTGGGTTTGGTGGTGATAATAGATTTGGTGGGTAAGTAGTTAGGGATAGGCATGGGGCAATAGGGACAGGCATGGGGCAAACAGTGGATGTCGGTGGTTCATGTAAAGTGATATTGTTGTAAGGAAATATGTGTTCATGAAAATTGTTTTCCTTCGAAGATCATAAATGCGATACCCTTTTTGGCAAAAAGGATCTCCAATGAGGCCAGGGTGAGCCCTAGTATCAAATTTGTGATGTGACGTGTGCATAACACAGACAACCAAACTGACATAGATGCTTATAATCAGGTTTACTGTTAAGGAGGACTTCATGCGGGGATTTACCATATAACAATGGTGTAGGCATTTTATTAATTAAATAGGCTACAGTAACGATGCAATCTCCCCATAATTGAAGGGGTAGATTTGCTATGAACCTTAATGCATGTGCAACCTCGAGAAGATGCTTGTGCTTCCGTTCCACCACCCCATTTTTGTAGGGGTGAGGATGCACTATTATGTTGGTGTACGACGCCATTATTGGTAAAAAATTGTTCATGTCATTGGAAAGAAATTTAGTACCATTGTTAGTTTTAACTGTCTGAATTTGACGTTGATATT